AGTCCATTAATTTAAGCCCAGCAGGAAATGTCCTGAACAAATAAATCTCGCCAAGACAAAAACCATAATGTTAGCTTATTGTGTCCCTCAGCTAAATCGATACAAGGAGACGTGAGACGGCTATATATATGGTATTAAAATATCGCTGCTGGTTATAGGTGCTGGCTGGTCACATAATATTCCTGTAGCCATGCTCACTTCCGGACAACAGCTGTTTGACAATATTACACCTCACCAATTACAGGAGTCTCGAGAGATGAAAATTTCCAAATGAATTATAAAAATTAAATGCTTCTCTTGATGGTAAATAAACCGGAAGTGAGTTGCGGCCGACTCGTTAACTGCCGCTATGCTCTACAACTACAGTGTCAACGGAGAACCTTCAGTTTGACGATATTACCATAACAAAGAGAGAAAAGTTTTCGAAATTCAATCGCTAGCAATTGGCAATCTGTTACCACTTTTTTTTATTTCTTTATGGATATACAATATATATATATATATATATATATATACAATCAAAAGAAATTCCATTTTAGATGAAAAAAAAAGTGTCGATTTGAATGGTAGACCCTCGTGCGTTGGTTATATTAAAATGTATTGTCAGTGGAAAACAGCCTGTTTTGCATAATTGAACGAAGAAAAAATAAGTGGTCCACAAACTGTATATTTACTTTTTAGGTGTATGGCAATAATATTATTACAAAGGAGCGGGGAGTGGGGCAACCCTTTGTATTATATCATTTTTATTGAAATTAATATTTGAGAAAAAAACGATGACATTAATTCGCCATTAATAACATCGATTGTGGAGAAAAGTCCGTTTGTAATTATATCAACGGCGGCTGCCCCGTCGATGACGACAATCGGAAACAAGCTATATCTAGTATACGTATATATTCTCATTTTTTGCGTCTCGTTTGAAACCAATTCATAACAATACATCGTTCTTGAAAATAATAGAAATAACCACTTTTACAACGGTCCATTGTCAGACATTGTTGTAAGATCGATTTCATGTCGTTGATGTTAATCGCGTAGATACCTATACCGGGAAAATATATATTTTGACTTTCGATTAAAATATAAAAGCCAACCAGAAAACTGTATAATATTATGTTCTCTCACAGTATCGAATATTAGTATGAGGTTATTCATCAGCGGCAATGTGTAACCGATAATGTCACCCCTCGTCGTGCTCGATGCCTAATTGGGTTTGAATTGTGCCTGCCTTATTATGTTTCTGAATGTTTTGATAAATTTGAAATCGATGGAGAAGTAAAAAAAAAAAAAATACTTAAAATAATCCCCAGTTTTATTAGTGGACATATTAATAATGCTATCTTTATGTAAAATATCAAATAGTTTGATATGATTCAATATATTTTATTCATTCCAACAGCTTATCGACTATCGTTTAGGGCTAATTTGCAAGTATATAGTTTTTCTCTTTTTGATACCTATTTATGTTTCAAATATTATTTTTCGACCAATCTGCCATTTTATATTTGGTAGTTTTAATTTAAATTAAATTATTAAATTATAAAAATAATTATAAAAAATAATTTACATAATATGTGGCTCAGGTACATTATTGTTTAAATTAAACATTTTCTGTTATAACATAATATTATGTCAACAATTACTCATAAAGGTTTATTAGTTTGGTATTTTATATTTTTACTGTTATGTTAATATAGCCACTATGTTGATAGACACTAGTAATTTACCATTAGCAATACTAAATAATAGTATACGTAGAAGTTTCAAATGGCCAAGAAAATTATTTTTTGAATTTCAACACTTCAACAAAAGACGTTATAGGTACTTACTTCGTTTTAGACATAAGTATCTTAATTTAGTCCAAATAATTTTAATGTCCATCAAAAAATTGTGTTTGTGTATTGTCTTGATTCTTTGGTTTCAGTGAGGACTACCTATGAATAACCTTGCATTAAAGTATGAACTAGTCCATGGTTATTAGTTTTTGAATATTAATAAAAAATAAAAAATTCGATTTAGTCAAAAACTAGTTTTGTGTAAAAATGCCAGTTTTCCGATTTTTTTTTTGTCCATCAGATTAATTTTAAAATGTATGTACCGGGTATTTTTAATTTTAAGCTCTAAAAAGTACCAACTTGATTCACTACCGGTAAATACATTAAAGTTGGATATCAAAGCATTTTTTTCTAGTACTAATCGTGTATACGCATACACACACACACACACACACACACACAAACACACATCATTGAAAATCAACACAATACATTGATCCGCTAAGAATTTAAAAAATAATATGGAAGTATATAATTGAAAAAGTTCTATTTAATAATAATTTAAATATCGAGTGGAATTTAAATAAAATAAAATATCATTAGTATAAAGTCTATTTATTAATCAAGTAAATTATGTATTTATGTACCAAATAATAAGAATTGTATAACTACAGGAGTTCACTATATTTTTAATAAACCCGAATAAAATGCATATAAGTACTTGAAGATCATAAAAAATTTCATCTAAACTATTACTTTGTTTACTTTTATCTTTTATTTAAACAGCAATTAAGAGAGTTGTGCGATACCTCTATTTTTATTTCAAAATACCCTATTCGGTAAAATACGGGTGGGCTAATTTCTTTGATATGAATCCTGGAAATATCAAAACAGTAATTTACTATATATTTTTTCAAAACTTGAATTTAATTCAATGTATGAACAGAAAAAACTACGTGAACAATATTTAAACAATAATAAGTGCAAATTATTAGTTGTCTAAAAAGATTTTTGCGTCAATAAACTAAACATAAAAGTGACGATTGTAATTATTGTCTATTACAAGTTACAACAATCTCGAATTTAAATTAATATTGACAGATGATAAATCGTGGAGCATTTTATTCTTAAAATATTATTACATTTCACAAACTGTATTACTCTAATCTTATTTTAGGTTTTTTTAAACTTATATTATATTGGTACTAATAAATTAATTCAAATGTGTAATTTTTTCATACGGTATCTAAAGTCATAAAATATATCATAAGTTGTCAAAACTTAAATCGTGTTTTAAAAGTTGCCAATATTTTCAAAAAACTGAATACGGATTTTGTTCAAAAAACGCAATGAGTATCGAAATAATTCACTCTTTGTGTAAAATATATTAATTTAGTGTTCATGTTTAGTAGGAAAATATTGTGCATTTTATGTGTCAATGTTATGTCTTAAGAATAAATTATGATACTGACACAGGTTTAATGATTTAAAAAAATTTAATTATTTTTAATACAGTATTAGTCAAATAGAATTTTTAGATTTTTAGGGATTTTGAGTACTTGCTTCAAGTTCATAAAAATATGTAGTTCTCAATTTATTTTATCAATCAAGTCTTAGAAAATATTTTTTTTTCATTGTTATTTTGGTAAAAATATAATCATACATACTTACAATACTAAACATTGATAACATATCATACAGGGTGATTTTTTAAACATGCCAACCACATTTTTCTTTTTAATAAAATTCTCATTAAAAATTCTGATTTTTAGAGTTTTTAAGTATACCTAAAAACCATATTTTAAAATTAATGATAATTTTTGTGCTACTCGATTAGTTCCTATGGCGAAACAAACTTCTATTTTTCAGTCAAGTACCTCTCTTCTTTTCTATAGATTATTTGGAGGTTTATTTTGTTTTTTGAAAATGTTGATGTGAATAAATCAAAATTCTAATGAGTAGTTTCTGAGTTATTATAATATTTACACTTAAGATAATAACTCTTAAATATGGTTTTATAATACGTTATATAAATTACATGTAATATAAGTATTCATTAAACTTAAATTATTTTTACAAACTATTTTTATTATTAAATCAATAGAAATTATTAATATTTTAATATCATCCAATCACCCATATCTATAATTAACCTATTACCATAAACATATTATTATTAGTATCACAAAGTGATATAACTCAAAAACTACTAGTTCAAATTTTGATTCATCATCAAAATTCTCAAAAATAAATATCTGTTGTATAATAAAATTAAAAGTGGAAAAAGTGGTTTGCAATTTGAAGTACAGACGATGGTATTGTCATAGGATAATCATTAAGTTTTAGACAATATCTCAAGTATTAAAAAATACCAAAAATCCTAAATTGAATAAATGTATAATTTAAGTATAAAAATATTGTGAGCATGCTAAAAAAACGGCCCTGTATACATAATGAATATATTTAATTGAAAGGTTAAAATTCACTTGTGGACGAGCCTCCCCTTGGTGGAACTCTTACTGACATTTTATTTCATATATTATTATAAAAAAATCCAGCTGAGAAACTATACTACTAGTATTATTTTAGTATAGCTAAACCAACAAAATTCTGTGATCAGTAAAGTGATTTATAAATTGATTATACAAATGTAGTTTTATTAAAATCGGTGTTATTAAATGCAATAATTTTGTAGTTATGAGATATGGCATGTTAAAGATCATTTCAATGGTTGAAACTTTGATATTATAGGACCATAGTGGTGTTACTGTTGTTAATTAACTTCTAAACTAAGAACAAATATTCAATATTATTTAGTAGGTAGGTAGTCTTTATTTGGTCGAAATGTTCAATAGAATTATAAAATGTAGACAACTTTGTGTTATTTGACATAAATATTTAAACATATATGTTTTTAGAGTATTTTTGCAGAAAAATATATACATACATTAATGAAAAATAACAAATTATATTAAGCTTTAAAATAGTTGAATGACGACCTCCATATTTTTGTTACTATACAAATACTATTAAGTAAACACTAAATGCGGTTTAAATATATTACTACTATATTAAGAATATATGTATTTATTTAGTTTAAATAAAACAGACATTTATAGATTAATCATTTGGATATTCATAATGAATAACGTTTTATATGCTACATAAATGATAATATTTTTTAACAATACATCATTTATGAAAAACAAATTATTTCCACAGGGTGTAATGGATACCAGCCAAAGTTCACCGAACCCATTGGCAACATCACTGTGCCGGTCGCCCGAGAAGCTATGTTTACGTGTTATGTTCACGGCTTAGGTGGTTATAGGGTGAGTGTTATTTTTTATTTATATGACATTATTATATTCTCCTAGGATACGTAAAAATTATTGGATTAGGTAATCCTTCAGGATTTTGTATTTAATTCTAGTGTTGAAAATACCGTTATGTTGGGTGGCAACTCTTAGCCATCTCTTAGATTCATTAAAATGTCTAGTTAGATACTCCTTTAATGTTCTCAAGTTATTCAAAGCGCAATTAATGAATTCCATAAAATACTATACAATAAATTTATATTTAGTGTACAATGTACATGACCATTTATTTCTTAAAATCCCCTGAGAATCAACTAAAAATATTTATTTATTTGGCATTATAAATTCAAAGAATTTTATTATGTAATATAATACTATAAAGAACCGTCTGGAACTATATCGACTTTGTGTTATTCTGCAGTTCAAAGTTATAATAATTGTTATGATACAATATACTAATAATTTGTGATGACTACCACCGTGATTGTATACGGCTGGTGAATCTATAATAACCATTACAGGTACTGAATAATTTTGAATAGTGCTAAAAGTGGATGATTTATAGTCAATTGGCTATAATATTAAATAGTCAAATTTAATTTGGTATTATTGTTATATTTAGAAAGAGATTTTATGATGTAACCTGGCTTGTGAACTGCACTGGACTGTGGTTAACAGTGAACTAATTATTACTTTATATTTACTTCATAATTATATTCATAGTATTTACGAGGGAGTTATTGAGAGAGTTTATACTAAGTTTGCATCAAATATGTCATCTAAATAGGTTTGTAAACTATTATTTTACATTTTTGTAAAATCTTCAACTGAAATGACTATTGTCTATTACACCTGATTTCTCAGATAGTGTGTGATGTTTAATAAATCAAACAAAGTTTTTAATTTCAACTCATAAGCATAGCCAATGGTTTCTTTAATTCCCTAAAGTTTATTAGTTAATTTTTGTGGACAAGTTATAACAATTAACTATATCGAATAGTTGTATTATTGAATCCAATGGACGACAGTAAAGTGCTATAGTAACGCGAGGGAAAGTATGTACATATTATTATGAAAATGATTGCCGATCCGGTCCTGATACGTGCAAAATAAAGGCGAAGGTAAATATTATAATATGAACAACAACATATGGAGTATGATGGAGTAAATATTTACACTATAAAAGAAAATGTTACCGTACATTACAAGCTTCGTATAATATGAGAATGTTTTCCCGAGTTTTTCTTTTAGTAGGGTAACAATTGGCGGAAAAGTGATTTCGGCGTGCGACGAAAACACGCACTGAGCTAGTCAAGGCGAGAGGCGAGGAGGGGGGGAGAGACAGAGTGAGAGAGACGTTAAACCAATAATAAAGCAGGACAAGTAACACGTGTAATATAACGGTGGGTCGGAGATATTATTGCGGAGACCAGGTAGTTATTATTATTTCATGGTGGGCCTGTTTTGCATGGCAAACGATTGGAATATCCGGAGACGAAATTCCGTATACTACTGTGCTAGCTTCCTTGAATACCAAAATAGCCTCACATGTGCGCACACGGCAGGGTCGGTGGGTGGCCGGTGGTGTATTTGAATGTGTATACTGCACCCATTGCGAGGATACGACCGGAAAAGCAATTCGAATGCAACCCGCGAGTGATTTATGACACTTTTATGGCAACGACTGTACAAACGTTTGTTAAATTGATATAAAATGACGCACTCGATACGGATAAAACGGATAAGTTTTCAAAGGTTTTGTTGACAATCGGATTCGGGTGTCTTCGTATAAACAGGAACTCGTTTCCGAGAGTACCTAGTCGATGTTATGTACACAGAGAGCGTCTCGGAATTATTCGTATTGTTTTTAACATCGATTAGCTGGCTACAGTCCTTCTGCAAAACGCATATTATTATTGATTTTAATCATAGATATATACTGCAGTACAATATGTCTTTAGGGTTCTGACTCTGAAATGAGATAATTTTAATTGGATTAACGCTCTGGCCGGGGCAAAGCCAATTAACTATCAGATATAGAATCCGCACTCCGCACCACTGTGACTATCGCGTGTCTCGACGTCTAGTACTAGAGAGTTCGTCGACAGCACATTACATCTTTATTATTTGAAAGAGATTGCTAAATTAAAAAAATTACCAGAGTCGATCGATTGATATATAAAAAATAAATTATTATGTTCTTGTCATATTGATTAGTCATCAAAAAAAATATTTAAAATGGGATTACTAATACAATAGAAAATCCCAACTACTCTAAACTATGAAAAAGTTTAGATAATACGTAGACATAATTAAAAATTTGAAATTTGAAAATGTATTTTAGTTTTTAAGTAAAGGATCGTATTAGTCTTACAATGGTGATTTAGTTTATACTATTCAATTTTTATGAAAACGATTTTGCGTGTAAACAAATAATCCTCAAAAAGTGTCATAAAGACGTATTCTATAGTAATCGCATAAGAATAGGTGCATATGCGCCGCATATTAAGTACAAACTTGAAATCGTTATTTTTTAAGGTTCTGTATTGTTTCTATTGACAAAAATGAAACGATCTCCAACAATCATAAAACATATTGATATCAGTTAACAGTTCTGTTGAATATCGTTTTAAATGCAATGATTTATCATCATAGATTTAATTTGACATTATAAATTGACCCCTACCCTGTACCGACGGGAGCGTGTTGATTCGAGTGCACATACTGACTACCCATTCGGACTGTGTATTCCTAATATTTATTTTAACAAAAAGCACAAATCACACACCATTTAATATAATTTATTATAAATAATTCATGTACAAATAAAAATTGTATTCTTGTTGGTTATATATTCAGTTACCTTAAACTAGTGAAGCCACATGTATAAGTTGGATTTCGTGATTTTAATATTACCATTAGTTTTATTTTTAAACTTTAAGTTATGTTCAGGCTATTTATTTCGCTATATTCATGATGACAAACACTTTTTATTGTTAGTTTTTTTTTGGTTGATGCATTTTACTTCTAATTTAAAGATTGAACAAATTATGAAAAAAAAAAGTTTTACAAGAAAAGTGTTTTGTCAGCGCGTGTTGAGGGTGGACAATTTCTTATAACCAACAAATGACATATTGCGTGTCCGTCATGTATATATCAGTGACCTGACTATTCAAAACTATTTTTAAAGCATAAATCTCCATTTATTATGCTATTAACAAATGTCAAAAAAAAAATGTAGTACATTTTTAAAAGTACATTGTTTCAACATAATACATTTTGTACCACATTCATATAATTTATACACACGTAGTGTAACTTGTTAGAAACAGTTGAAAAATTGACTGTGTAATTTGTATTAAAGATTTTAATTGAAGCCATACTAGTGATGCAATGAGGCATTTTGTCCCAGTCTATTCTTGAATTCTGTGTGAGGACAATTTTATTTTATCTACAGCATTGAGAGTATTTGTAAATTTACACTTATTGGTACCTACGTTGAGAAATTAAAAGTATAAAATATACTTATTATAATTAATACTTCTCTTAATAATTGGGCCGAAAAATATCAAAAAACAGTAGGAAATGGAAATATTTAAGTAACACTAGTTTTAGAAAAAATCCATTTTGTTTTTCATTTGAAAAACATGCAAATGTAATTATTAAGACTACTTCTATCTCAGTTTTTTTTGGTAGCAAATCAAAAATATCCAGAATATTTTCTTACTTTTAGTTGAGCCTGAAAATTTAAACTTTGATGAAATTCGTCCAAATTTAAAACAATTTAAAAAAATTCCACACTATTTTACTGTTAAAAAATCATAAGTTTTTCTATTTTTTATACCTAAAGCTTGAAAATTATAATGAATATTCTTGAAAGTTGTTTTTATAAAAATGTACAGCAAATGTTAAAAGTATATGAGCATACACTTGTATAGGAACTTGATGTTCAAGTTATGACAACATTATGTATTTATTATTTCTACGGGAAGTAGTTAACGATATTAATGAAAATATCTCAAATGGTTATTTCATTGTAATTAAAAAAGTATTATTCATAAGGATTTGTAACTTTTTGAATTACATAATAAGTACATATAAGAATGTTTTATATAGAATAAAATATTTGTTTAAGTATTATAGATTCAACATAAACTATCCTAATAAATAGATGCTAATCTATTTCTTAATGATTTATCATTGCATTAAAATGAAACACATGGACCAAATAATAATAATAATAAACCACTTACACTCAAAATCTACTTATACAGCAGAAACGAGTTCTCTGGTTTATTATTTTAATCCCATATCCTTTTTAATGACTTTATACTCCTAAAACAACGCATTATTTAGATTTTACAATAATTTCTTTGAGAATTTTCTGAACCTTATTATAAAAGCCAAAATCGAATTAATCCATGAATAATTACTTCGTGAGTTTATTATAAATGTGTGATAATTTAAAACTATAATGTAATAATATAAAACATGAACAATTTTGATTGTTCATTGAATATATTTATGAAAATAAAATGATAAACTATAAGAAATAATATTGTAAGCTCGGTATTTTTTAATAAATCATCGCGTATCACTATAGTTCTATACTAAAATAGTTTCTAAACAGGTGTCGAAAATATGAATGAACAAATATTTTCTAATTAATAGCTAACAGTTAAAATATGTGCGGACACTGGTCAATACAACCACAACTGTTTATTCAGGCTTATTACATATCACTTTCAACCATTCTCCAAATGATAGTGTAAGTCTGCTTAAATGTCCTTACTTTGTCAACCATTTGGTCAACTTTAAGGATTGTTCAAAGCTCTGTTCGACAAAAGACGTGCCGATTGTTCTCAAAGTTTAGCAAAACCGAAGGCTTCACCTTTAACTATACGAAACTTTCATAAGTTTGACTGAAACCTGATGGTTTAGATCTTTGATTTTCATATATTAGTGTTTGATAATTATTTGATATTTGTTTTAAGATTAACTTGATATTATAGTATTATAATCATATCGTTTTAAGTATAATTTGTTTCATTGTTTTGGTCACAGGACAATAAATATATATATTGCGGTTCTTATATTAGTTGTTGCTATTGTGAACTATTGAATTGTAAATATTTTCACCACTAATATTATGTTATATACGAGCAGAGAGATGAATTTATAATTTAATTTTACAATGATGTGTGTGTGTGTGTGTGGGTTTAATTGTTTGTGTTCCCGCCTCTATTCAGAGCTGTAAAAACGCTTGAATCATCAATTTAAGAAAGATTTCTGGTATAAAATCAGATCTATTATATTTGATACTTTTAATACTTAATTCCTAGTAGGTAATTAATAATAATAGGAAAAAACTGCATTTTACTCAAAACAAGATTTCTACCATTTTTGTTATTGTTAACCCCTAACCTTAGATTTTTCTTCAAATATTTATTTTATTATTAAACATTATTTTGATATTTGTCATAGACTTTTTTTTATTTCAATTTTTTATGAAATCGTATAGTTATATATTCTAAATAAAAAATAACAGATTTAGATATTTTGTTGTTTTTCGAAAAAATAGATAAATTAGTAGGGACTTGAAACTTTTCCGTTACTGCGTACCTAAATTATTATTATTGGCTGTATAATATAATGAAATTCTCATAATATTTGGGTTAATTTCAAGCTATTTGTACGACGATTCTATTCACTAATTTTTACAACACGCAGTACTATCCAACTAGTAAATAAAGGTTAGTAATATCTTACGACATAAGATTACTATTGAATAAAGTATGCTTTTTGAGAAAATGTTAGTTCAGTCGTAAGTACGACAGTATTACTAAGAAAAAAGTAAATTACTTACAGCATTATAAATATATCATAAAATATCCTGCGATATATATAGGCTGGAAGACCGTCTCCTCTCAAAATTGTTTTTTATTACATACAATGATTTATTTTCTAAATGACAAGGTACACTTTACAACTATACTACAAAATGTTATTTTTGTCTATAAATTTCGTCTAGATCAACACTTGGAAAGTTCTTTTTACAATTTCATCTTGTTAAAAAGATTTTAAATACATTTAAAAACTAAATCGTTTAATCCTGGCTTAAGGAACTTGTTCTTTTCTTGGTTCCTAAATAAAGAACATTTTTCATTTCTCGATGATTTTAAAATTGTAGTTATATAATATTTTGTATTAAATGGATTGTTTAATTAGGTGCCTATTGTTGTTTTGTTTTTAAAAGGAGCTACTAAATCGCTCATTTTCCCCTAAAAAATGAACGAAATTCAAATATTTTCCTTCTTACGAAAGGGGAACTATGTTCTCATTAAGTGTCTAAAAATCGAACAAAATCATTGGAACGAGTCTTCTTTGAATACGTTAATTCTAAACACTGGCGTAGTGTGTACGGGTACCTGCTTTTGCAATCCAAGATTGAAATAATATTGTTTGTTGAATCGTTTAGTATCGTGATTTTGGACCATGCTGTGACTTATCTCATCCTAAACGGCTGGACCAATTTTGATGAAATTTTTGTGTGTGCTTGAGTGGATCCTTGAATGGTTTGGATGCACAATTGGACCCGGTAGGTCAAACTCGGAGTTATGCTCAAACCGGGATTTTCAGATTTATGTTAGACATTTTTGTTTATAATTTGTTGTTTTTGGTTACAGGAGAAATAATTAGTAGAAATTAGTATTTAAATGGTTGGCATTGGCTATAATAATAATAATAAGTAAAAATCTTATAATATTTTATCCAACATTTTAGACATAAAATTACATAAAATTACGTATCGCTTGAGAGAGTGATACAAAAATGTATTACAGAAGAATTCCATGTCTTTGTAGACGAGGAGAAAATATTGGTCGACCCACATTTTATGTACAATTAATATCCAATAACTATATCAATTAAATAAAATGGCAGAAGATTATGAGATATAATTAGTAGAAATTAATATTTTTTCTATATAAATGGTTTTCATTAGTCTATCGTGCAGATGAGGTAAAAGCATGTATCAAATCGTCAAGTCAATCACGTCATCAAATCGAGGGTGTGTATGGATAATTTTTTCAACTCCTATAGGTAGCTAAACGGTAGCTCAGTAGCTGTGTAGCTCACTCATGATTTTTTATTCAGTTTACACACTAAACATTTTTTTTATGGTATATACATTTTTTTTACAAATATATTTATTAAAAATACAAATCTATAGCCTGGAAAACGTCGGGCGGCACAGCTAGTTTATGTATAATTTGTAATATTTGATATATTTCTATACGTCATTATTATCATCTTATACTTAACTATTTTAGGTTGGTTGGGTGAAAGCCGACACAAAAGCCATTCAAGCTATACATGACCACGTGATTACGCATAATGCTAGAGTATCCGTTTCTCATACCGATGATTCAACCTGGAATCTACACATTAAAAATGTCCAAGAAGAAGATCGTGGTCAATATATGTGTCAAATAAATACCGACCCAATGATAAGTCAGGTAATTCGTTTTAATTGCTTGTTAGTACTTGTTATAAGTTTATAATAATGATCTTAAAATGATTTTATCATGCATGTGTATATTTAACACTCAAGCTTTCATTAGCTTTATATAAATATGTATCATATTATATATTATATAAGAAAGTTGATTTAGTATTTCATGAATTAAATTATTTTTTATACATTTTTGTTTAGTTTAGTTTGTTTATTTCAATGCTAAGAGTTAATAGTATTACAAAATTAAGGCTAGTTTTATTTTAAATTAATATCGTTTCTCAATAATAATAATAACAATATTATGAATTATAGTACTTCCTGTATATTCTTATATATTATAAAATGTGTTAGACATATTTTTATGAATGAATTACACATGTATGTTTTATTTTTAATTACGTCTTTTGAATATAATTGTTCTCGGCTAAGGTTAATTTTATACATATATGATTGTATATTTTTTTAATTATAGCAGTTTTAAATATTGTGATTGTAATTTGTTTTTAAATAAAAGAAATATAATAACTTCCGAATTCTATTATAACTTGAGTTCAATGTAGGGTGATAGAAACAAACTAAATTAACATTCTTTTTACTTATTTTCGAGCTCCACAATAATATTTTCTTGTTGTGTTGAAAGATTTCATTAAAACTGCTAATCTTTTCACTTGGTTTATTCACTACTATAGCCAACGGAAAAAAACGATTTGGTAAAAAGAATATTATTATTAGCTCTTCTGATAGGTTTATTTATTTTTTCATTTTTTTTTACTAATATATCATAAATTGTGAAATAAAATGTAATTTTCGATGAAAGTAGAACTGCAGGCAAAATAATTCCCCACAGACCAATGAACAGGAACGTTATGATGCATAGAATTCCATTATCACGATTGACAGTACAATTTTTCCCCCAAAATTAAAAAACATAATATCAAAATCGTTAACATTTATTTTTGTTTATTAGATGGGATACTTGGATGTTGTGATACCACCCGATATAATATATGAAGACACTTCGGGAGATGTAATGGTACCTGAAGGAGGAACTGTGAAGTTAACATGCAGGGCTAAGGGCTACCCGAAACCACATGTTTTGTGGAGAAGAGAAGACGGACGTGAAATAGTTATCAAAGACGCCAGTAGCACTAAAACTAAAGGTTAGATATTACGTTTGTTTTGTTCTTAAGTAGTTTGTCTATAAACACAATTCTTAAGATGACTTCGACACTTGGTAAACAAATGTAAATATGCGACAACCCCCGACATCACTTGTTAAATATTTATGTAATACAATTACATCATTATACCTAAAAAAATTAATAATTAGAAATTTGAATAATTAAAACTTCTACAATCAAAAATAAAGTTGTCATCGATTTATTATACGAAATTCCTGTTTATTGTTATGTGAATATTTATTAAATAGTATTCGTTCGAATTTATTTCATTATAACGTTTGGCAACCAAGATAATTTACTTTCTTAAAAATACGTACGTTCATTTTAATTTTAAATTGACCATACGATGTCCATCAATGTAAAGTATAGCAATAGTAGATAATATTGGTTAAAACAATTATGAAATTTAATTACATTTTATAAAATCTGATATTATATGCCTTTAGTGAGTATGAGTGAGTATATAAGATGACATCCAAACTTTATACGGATTATAATATATGTGTGTGTTGTCATTCAAACCCTCTTGATCATTGTGAAATCTCCCAAAACCACTTTTAAGTTTATATATGGGATGAACTTATATATCACCATTGTACATTTATTTCTTTGACTGCAGTACTTATACCTATTTTGTTGACAGTTTTATCAATTTCAAACTAGAAGTTGATTTAATTTAATACTTCTGCGTTATCGCTGGAAATTCATTGACTCGCGCAATACATATAATTTGAGGACCAATAAATATTAAGATTTAGTTAAATGGATTTTCGTTTTCATAATAAACTTATTAAAATATCATTTAAAATTATATATAATTTTTGGTGTACAGTCGTCATATATACGTTCCTCCGTTATCGTTCATTTTCAATTTGCCTTTCATATTCGCGTTACAAAAACATTCAGAAGTATCACATATGTACGCATACTAATAGGTTGGGTTAGTTACTTATATTTTTTCCTTGTTCTCATCTGAAACTGTAACAACATTCAAACCATATCAATGAATTATTAACTGCAATATTACAAATAAAGTATAGCTTTTAATTATTATTTCAGAATCTTACCTCATCGTTCACTCGAAATTGAATATTCCTGAAATCCTGTCTGTCAACTAATTACATCCAATATCCCAAACTGTACCGTCTCTGCAATTTCGATTTACTTGATTTTTTAATTATATTATTTTTTAACTAAAAAAAAAAAAGTATTTACAATCTTTTGAAATCTATATGACAATAAACCAAACCTTATATTCCTCTCACCACAATAAATATGTACTGTCTACTAACTATTATACTGAACATAACAACTGAACAATTTAAAAACTTTTTTTAATACCTAGGCCACAAATTTAAAGCTAGTGGAGAAATTAATGCTAAATATCCTCACCGGGGCAGTCAAAGTAGCAACCATTGTGGTGGTAACAATCTTTTACATATTTTCTTTTCTAAACTATACAAAATGCACTCCTTCTTTGACCCAACCGAATGATCCTCTTTTCCATGTAAACTTCTAGACATCCTCTACATCTTCATTTCCAAAGTACCAACTAGCCTATATCACCGTTAACGTTCTTCACTCTGACCACTATTTACTCTTTTATCCAGTTTTTATCATCACAAATTTGAGGATTTACCCAATTACTAAAAAACAAATCTACTGAATGGAATGTTTTTCAATCACAACTCAGTGTAAACACCAACTTCAATATAGAATTGAGATATCCATCAAAGTTTGGCCAATCTGGAAAGTATTTAAGGAGTAGTATTTACGCTTTTACGAATACAAATAAATGTACAGTTGTAAAATATATTTCAATAAAATTTCTCACGCTCCTCACAGTCTGATATTTTCTAAGCTTTTGTAAAGCATTCATTTTTAGAGTTGACAAATAAATTGTACTTCATGTTAAAATATTTAAATTTGTATAACTTATAATAGTATTTTAAGTACACTTGATTTCTATAAGTCACAATACAGTAATTAATATTGTTAGTTTTTTTTTCATATTCCTCCATTTGGTCAAACACATTCAACAAAATATAATCAATTAATACATAATTTACTCATTTAATAATACTCATAAGTGCATATCTTTCAATTTTAGATTTGGGGAAAAAATAATAAGTATCTAATGACAATAAATATACTTACAGTTAGAATCAAATTGTTTTTTGAATTTGATGTTAATCGTGTTAGTATATTAAAATTGGAAGCTATAATAACATTTAAAAAAAAACCCGTATTGATTAAAACAAAAAAGCTGTTTGGTAAATTTAATGAATTAAAAAAAATATATTACTTGTCAACGAAATGCATTTTCCATACTTGCAAACTTTTATGTTAACATTATTTTATTTTATATGAATTTATTTTTAATACTTTCCATGCATACATTAACTATAGGTTATTGATTATGAACTCAATTCGGATGAAACTCAATTAATGGGTTTTATAGTTTGTCAATTATATTGCATTAAGTGAACTGAATGTTATACCCAGAGTTCAGCGGTTGCGTCGGCTGTGTTCTCATTCAAATAATTGGAAATATGTGTTTACTACGAACTAATTTTTAAGAGCAAAAATTAATTACGACAGTGATTTTTACGTTAAATCCTACTGGACAAACTTTGTGTTGCATCGAATCTGTTATGTCAAACTCTTCGACTAATAAGCTAGTTGTTACCTGCCGCCGCGCCGCCGTCTCTGTCAGAAACGTACGTTTTTGCGAATGGCAGTTGCTCCTTGACGCGGCCACAATAGTCCTATTGTCATTACTTCGTAGACACCAGACATGCTTCGCTCTCCTCCGAACATCTAAAATAAAAAGAAAATAATAATAATAATAATAATAATAATAATAAAAAACTATGTTCGAAACTCTAGTTTGAAAATGAATATGAACGAAAAAATAATAATAATAAGAAGAAAATAATCGATTCCTCTTAATTCCAGTTTTAAACTTCAGATAAAAGTTTCTTCCACCCTTCGTATTACACTCCAAAGGCTTATTGAAATGCAGAGAAACAAAAAAATATATCGCCAGTTGGCAAAAACAATGGAGTCCGATGCGACCGAGATAGGGTAAAAGTATGGATCAGACGGTTCGGACGGCGCTTTCAACCCTCACCAGAGTTTGGGAGTGGGAAAAATAAAAAAAAATAACTCAATGTCATCATTAACATTTTTTGTGATTGTTTTATTTTTTGCTTCTTCTCGATCTTAATCGAACCCACAACGTCCTATTGTTATCCAGAATCTTTTTAGAACACGCGACTTGATACTGCGGAATACTAAAACACTAGGCACTTTAAAAAACACCAAATTTCATATCCCCGGACTATCTTTTAAAATGAAAAAGATGCCTTCTTATGATATGATATTAAAATATTATCATTAGAATGATGTTCAAAATAAAGTGCAAGTATCTTAATATAGGTACATATTGTTATACTTTTTGTTAAATATTTTGAATACTTTTTGAAATATTACATTTCACTTCTACCTATGTGTGTGTGTGTGTGTGTGTGTGTAAAATAATTGATGTCTTATCACACCCGTGTCTTGTTTAAGTGGATTAGTTTCAATAGAAATGAATTGTAATTTTGATTCATGTATAGGCACGATGTAATTTTTATTTTAATGTTGTTTATGAAAAACAATGAATACCTAGCAATATTATTATTTTCTATTTTTCCCTTTGAGTATTATACTTTAAGATATGCAGTTTTGGAAAAAAAAATGTAGCATTATTTTCTCGTTCAAGTATTCCTTCTGATAATGGATCCATGTTGTAGAACAGTTGTGCATAAATAATATTTTAAACAGAATTTATTCAGATATATATAATTTATATGTACAAAATATATGTTTATTAGCTCACTTCTAAAAATACATCAGTCTTGTAAATGGAATATAATGTTGACTGGTATACGTAATTACATAATCGAAATATATATGTCGTATTTTTAATCCAATTAAGTATGATTTTATAATTTACCTATATACATTGTATTTTATTAATGAACAATGTACGCAATATATATTATATACGTATAAATTGATTTGTTATCGTCATGTCCCAGATAAGTTGTCTGACAATATGTTATAATAAATATTACTTAATAATTGTTATAAAATATTTCAGGACTAGGAATATAACATTATTTTTTCATAACTTTTTGTGTTGTTTCTAGTCCTATAGTATAGCCGAATATTCATTAGTACCGTCATCATGCCAGTCCAATCAAGTATTTTTTGAGTCTAACTAATTACTCGGACAATTTTTCATGAGAGTTAGATATTACTTCCATGTATTTTAGTCTTTGAATATATTTTATTAGCTGACATGGATGTTTTGCAAGATAGTTAAAAAAAATATTAACAGTTACATAAAAGATACCCTGCAGTGTTTGATTGTTGTTTCTATTCATTTTTACGAACTATAGTCGTTGGTTGAAGTCATTAATTTAGTTTAATTTTTTTACACAAAACATTTAATTCATATCATCATTTTTATAACATTTATATCCATACCGTTATAATACACTGGTTCCATCAATGTATTATTAATTAATAATATTATTGTCGAGTTCTCAGCATTATTTAACACCTCATACACTACCTACGTATGAACTTAAAATATTATAATAGCTAAATTTCAAACCAACTCACAGTACACCTATATGGCTATATGACTAGTTAATTTGCGTTAAGGAATATTTAAAATTTTAAACACATTAAATAGCCGAACTTAAGTACAAATATTTATTTTTGTGTAGCAATTATTTTGAATAAAAAATTTTAATTTTCGTTTTTAAGGTATACATTACCATTTTGGTGCTTTTGTATTATTTTAAAATAGGTTGTTCGTTAAACAACGGTATTATTTACAATTAATTGTAATGAAACCAAAAACAATTTATTTAGGGTTTACAATTATTGTTTTACTCCTAATGAACATTCTTCAACCCCCC